TGAATTGGTAGATGCTTCCTAGAATCGAAGAATCCTGGTGGAAAAATCCGCTCTAATTTGCAAATGATTATTGGTATTTCTCGCACAAGGAGAACCATATCCTCTAATCTCAAGATAGTACTTATCAAATCCTTAAAAGAAAAGACTTAGCTCTATCAAAACTTCCCATACTTTACTTGGTAAAAGCTCTTGGAACACTATTAGTATTAGCCTTTTCATAAAAATATGACAATTATGGCTTTTCATTCCAAATAATTTATATTTTTGCATGTCCACATATAGAGTCATGCTTGACGCATATCCATCTGGAAATTGCAACCCACGGACCCACTCACATAATATTTTATGCTTCATGTTAAGTAATGTGCTAATTAAGTATTATGCATATGCTATGTTTGTTTTTTATGCTTTCCTATTTGTTGGCTACAATTAGTATATAATTCAAATTACGCTTATGCTTAGTTTGCTTTTTATAACTTTCATAATTAAAACTGTTACTATAAACTTAACGTACTACATAAAGGGAAAGGGAAAGAATTAGCTAATCGGATTCGCAATTGCTACAAAAAGTTTTTGAGTTATCGCAATCTGCAAATTTGAAAGGAATACTTTTAGTAGATGAAAATATTAATTAACAAAATTCACAAACCAATTATCAAAGTGACATAATTAACAAACCTTCCTACTTAACAAACTAAAACTAATGACAAAGTAACTAAGTAATTACAAACTAATCAATTGCAAACTAAGTTAACCAACAAAATACTAACATATAAACTAAAACTAACTCGAAGAAGAACAAACAAAACAACAAAAAATTATAAACTAACTCAAATAACAAATAAATAAATAAAATAACAAACTAAAACTAATTACAAACTAACCATCAAAGAACTAATTACAAACTAAGTTAACCAATACAATACTAACTCAAAGAACAAACAAATCAATAAAAATTTACAAACTAAGTTAACCAACACAATATAATATATAAACTAAACTAACTCAAATAACAAACAAATAAAAAAGTTACAAACTAAAATTAATTACAAACAAATCAAAACAAATTACAGAACAAATAAATCAAAACAAAATTAAACTACATTACCCTAAAATAAAAATTACAAATTGACATTACAAAGAAAAGTAAAAAATAAAATAAAATAATTCTACATTGATCTACAACTCAATAAAATCAACAATTTCATACCCCTGAAACAATTTACAATTGTAAAACAACAAAACTTTAATAAATATAAGCTCTCACAATATAAATACAAAAAAGAAAATTTTTTTAAAAAAAAAAAGCTAAAATGCAAAATATATCTTTGAAATTTCAAATAAAAGAGAAAATGAAACAAAAAATAAGAAAACACAAAACTCACCTGGTCACTTGTGATACTAGACGACGGCAGCGGCAATGGGCTCCTCTTGTCGTCTGGCTTCGCCGAAATTAAGAGGGAATAGTGAGAGGAAGGTGACCAAATCACCCTAAAAAATTAGCGACCGACTAAATCAATCGCTATCCTATATATATCGATTGTTATTTTAATTGACTTGACAATTAACATGGGTCACTATTCTACCGTTCGATTGCTAATCTGTCGCTAATATGTTTAGAATTCATGTCCTCATTTCTATCGCAAATTCATCGCTAATCTATTAGTAATAATTCCCGCCTAAATTTAGGCGCCACATTTAGTGACGGATTTGGGGTCGATCGCTGAGTAGTCACAAAATCAGTAGCTAATCGGTATCATAGTGTGGCGCCAATTCTTCACGCAAAGTTTAGCGATGAATGACAGCCTTGTCGACCATTCCGTTGCTAATTCATTCACTAAGGGTTGCTAAAGTGGTTGCTAATGTACTGAATGATTTTCGATAATTTGCCGTCACTGTCCGTCGTTCTGTTGTCACTAATTAGCAACCAAAACTAGTCGGTCCCTAAAACGTACTTTTTTAGTGGATTGAAAGTCTTAAGGGTTTATTCTTCACTAAAAGAAGAAATTGTTAGTGGATTGAAACTCTTAAGGAGACACTTATAGAAAAGATATAGGCTAAAGATAGTTGAACCTTTATAAATTTTTCTTATCTCATTTCTTCTTTTTTCCTTATTATCTTCTTGCTCTAAATTGCCTCTTAACTTGCCAAGTTTTCTTCAAAATTTTTAATAAATGTAATTCACCTCCTCTTGAAAATTGGAAAGGCTAAAAGCTATCAAAATTGGTATCAAAATTGTAACTATACCTTGACTTTAACTTAGTTTTATTGTTTGACTTATATTTTCGGAGCAACCGTTCCACTTAATTCAATTGAAAATCAATTCCAAATTGGTTGTAATTTGATTTGCGGTCGATTTCAAATTAATTTGACATTGGTGATTCTTATATACACAACCATGTTAAAATTAAGATATCTATAGAGAAATTACACAATTCTTTTGTGAGATCGTCATAAAATTTAAAATATGAGTTCATACTCCATAAGATATAAAATAAGAGGACATTTGATTCAGTGGATTCATACATTTGATGGTTGACTTGTGTCTGAGCGCTAGGTTATAAGTGTTTGGTAAACTTTTCAATCAGCAAACTCTAACAGCTAATAAAAGTCCATTTAGCTACTATGTATTAGAGTTTTTTCTCATCAGCTGATAACTAATTTGTATTTATATTATATTTAGATTTAAACTCATAAAAATAATTACTATCAATAACCACAATCAGTAATAGCTAAACAAAAAGGCCCTAAGAGCCCTAAATTCATTTTCCAACTCAGTCAATTTCTAAGTTTGTGATATACAAATCTTATTTTTCTTTTTAAGTTTCTTATCTTCATGATGATTCTTCTCCCCATTTTGAACAAACCAATAGTTATCAGCATGTACAACCATTCACAACTCAATTCACAAACAATTCTCATCACCCCTTTGAGTAGCACGCACGTGCCAGTTAGGCAAATTTGAAGCTGTTCTTTCTAAATAAATAGATAGAAATAATAATTACAAGTGTTACATTTCATCCTAGAAATTATATACTGATAGGACATTATAGCCTAATAATCAAATAGACTAATTTTTTGTAACTATATCCAATATAATTTTTGTCATGCCAATTATGCCCAAACTTTAATATTTTAATATCACTTGTACCGGTATTAGGATTGGGGGAAAAATATTATTTTTATATTAATCTAGGATACAAATTGAATGGACATTGTTAAGCTATCAGAATTTGAGGAATGAAAAAAATTGTCAATTGGCTTCTTTTTAGGCTTAATGTGGGATATGTATATTGGAGAAAGGATAAGGATCGTAAAAATCTTGTATTATTTGTTAGTTAGAATTTATTTATGAATCTAATATTATTCTTTTTTACATATTTTATTATTGTATATTATTAGACATATTTGAATTTAACATATCATATTGTCAATTTATTTTTTGAAATTCGATAGTTAACTGGACTCAAGAATTTTAAAAAGTTTTTGATTAAATGAAGGTTTTAATTGGATTAAAAAATTTCAGAGCTTGATTGTAAATCCAACTGAAATTCAAAACTAAATTAACAAAATGATTTCTAATCAAAAACCAAGTTTGTTATTTTTATAATATTTAATGATTTTCTACTTCAACTTAGAATATAATTAATATTAAATGCCCAAATTTATTGTATAATTATGCATATATGCTTTTGCAAAAATGTAAAAAATATAGGATAAATTTGATCTTTAAGACAAAAATTAAGTTCTTGCTTATATCTAATGTGTAAGATCAATATAACAAGTCAATAGTGAACAATGCTATTTAAAAAATCATAAATTTTTATTAATTTGTCCTTTTTTTTCCTAATGAAAAGATAATAATAGTTTATCCTAAAAAAAAAAAAGAAATAGTAATAGTTGCATTTACATTAAATATTTTTGTTGAACTAATCTATAGATAAGTCATTCTAAAATCAAATTATGTGCAAAGTTATTGTGGCCTTAGTCCTGTTAGTGAAAAATCTTTCGACATTTTGCTCAATCTTTAAAGACGTAGGCAACTAATTTCGTTTCAGAATTTATAATTGCACTTTTTATAAATGTTTTGCCATACATCTTATTCTTCTCCTTACAAGCTTTTTATGACTTCCTCTCCTCAATAAATTCTTTAAAAAAAATTAGAAATGGCTTTGGAAGATTGAATTCTTGGCTCATTATATGTGCCCATGTTCCTTTGAATTTGATAATTTTTAACTTTCTTTTTTCATTTAGATTACATTTTTAAAAAATTAAAATAATATAAATTAATTTATTCCAACTTTACTTTTCTTCTAGAAATCTAAATTTAATTTTGCTTTTTAATTAATTGAGCATTATTAAACAACAATTTAATTAATTTTCCTTATTTTTTAAAAAATTAAAGTGTTGCAATTATTGTCTTAATTATTGCGTAAGCTCCAAAATTATCAAATTTAATGAAACCAATGGAGTATTATATAATGTAATTAGTGAATTTGTATATTAACTCAACCACCTACTTTTAATTTAATATTTTTTTTTTTTGCGTCAAAGTTATATTTTAGTTAGAATATTATACTTGTAAAATTGTGTAAGGTTCTGAGAGAGTGATTTAATTTATTTTTCATTGTAATAATACAATACTGTACTAATAACTTAATTTATTTTCCTTTGCAAAACAAATTAGTAGTACTATTTTGTAATGTTTGGAGAAGGGTGCAATCGAATTGCATTAAATTAATAAATATTGACAAATTAATTACAACTCCAAGAATAATTAACATGATAAGTGAGCTAAACAAGTTAAAGAAATTAATCGCATCTAACAAAGAGAAAAAGAAGAGGGAAAGAGACGGAATATAAGACGAGTAGACATTATTGCGACAGGGTTACTAGGTAAGTCATTTATATCACATATTAATACTCCTCTGATGCACATCAACTAACCACGTACTCCTTGACCTGCCGCTATTTACTTCACTCTGTCAACACTATAAAGCCATCTCCTTTCTTCTCTCTGCTGTGCACCTTTCAAAAACTCCCTTCTTCTTCTTCTTCTTCTTCTTCTTTAAGCTTCAGATAAAGATCATGGGGAAGGAGAACAGCAAACAGGTCTCAATGTTGATGTGGGTTTTGTTTGCCGAGTTGCTTTTACAAAATGTTGTCGTTTCTGTAATTGCTTCAAACTTTGAAGAGCAAAAGAACTACTACAGCCACGACCCACATAGAAGTCCTCCTACAGGTCTCTCTCTCTTTCTTTTAGTTAAAATGGAAAGATGAGATCGCCCTCGATTTAAATATTTTCGTGTTTAAAATAAAGGTAAAATTTGTAAAACAATGCATTAACTGCTCTATATGATGCATGGCAGGTTCACACGGCAGCCCATCTCATGGAACGCCACCATCACACGGATCTGGAGGTGGTGGTCATGGTGGCAGCACGCCCACTTACCCTACTCCATCAACCCCATCGACCCCATCGCATGGAAATTGTGGAACCCCACCAACAACGCCATCAACTCCATCAAATCCTCCAACGGGAGGAGGTGGTGGATATTACCCTCCATCAACACCATCAAATCCTCCAACAGGAGGAGGTGGTGGAAATAATCCTCCCTCACCTGATATTACTCCTCCAACACCTGCCATTGTAAGCCCACCAACCACCACTCCTCCAACTCCTTACTTTCCCATTCCAACTCCATCCACTCCGGACGTTCCCTCACCTCCGTTCACTCCTGATCCAAATTCACCCTATACATGCAAGTAAGTTTTTACTTACGTATTTTAATTCTTAGCTTGTTGCATTGTAAAGTAGGTACTCCACTCAGTGGGAAAGCCACGTCGAAGAAGAGGAAAGCAATTTCTGTGCAGGTCCTGTAGTTGAAACTCAGGGCCTGCCATAATTTTTCCTTCTATCCTTAACCATTTTCCCCTTGATTTATGTAAAATGGTGGTATGAAATCCTGGTTTCGCCCTTCTCTACATTGATATATATATATATATATATATATATAAAATGACATGAATGTTCTTGTTTAATTTATATACAGTTACTGGAAAAATCATCCTGGTTTAGTATGGGGTCTGCTTGGCTGGTGGGGAACAGTTGGCAATGCATTTGGAGTAACTAGCTTGCCTAGTTTTGGAACAAGCATGAACGTACAACAAGCACTTGCAAATACACGTGCTGATGGGTATGGGAGTCTCTACAGGGAAGGTACTGCTGCTTTGCTCAATTCTATGGTGAGCAACAAGTTTCCTTTTACGACAAGGCAAGTTAGGGAGAGTTTCATAGCCGCACTTAGCACAAACAAGGCTGCAGCTGCTCAGGGTCATCTATTTAGGCTGGCTAATGAGGGTCGACTGAAGCCTAGAAATTGATGAGAAGTCATATTTGGTGGAATTAGTCCTTTGCATGTATTGTGGTGTGTTTGATTATCAATTGGAGTTTTCTTGTGTTGGCTGGTAGTATCTTAAGAGATATCTTAGTTTCGTGTTACTATTATAGACAGTGTTAAGAGATTTGAATGCTTAATTAAGTTGATGTTTTTAATTGTTTTAAATAAGATTATATTATGGCGTACTTCCAATTCCATATTTCTTTAATTAATCCCAGGCATTAGAGTTGCCTACACTTGTACCATCCATACACCTAAGTCATCAAAAAAAGTTGTTTAAAAAGATTGTTACTATTGGGAAAAATTTATCTAGACAAGGTTCATGGCCTACCTATGAACCAAATTAATAAAATTTAAGATTTTTATTAAAATGAGTATTTCTGATGAGTATTTCTGATCATACACTTGGATAAAACAGGTAAAGTTGGAATATTTTTTAAAGAATTCAATTCTTTTCGTTAGTGTTTTATTCATATTTTTCTGGTGAATGGTTGTAAATGCCTTTGCTTGAGCAAAATATTATTCGTCATTTATTTGATGCATGGGTAGAGCTCATGCATCTGGTATAAGTAAGTCTTTTCATACACCGGTTTAAAATTTCACTCGAGGTATTTTCAAATGATAAAATCTCGAGGTATTTTCAAATGATAAAATTTATCAACATCTGGTGTATGAGACCCATGTATCAAGCTAATAAAAAAAATAACTTTTTAAAAAATATCATTGTTGTATCAATTTTTCTCCCTCCGTGAATGATCAAAGATTCTATTCTTGATTGGTCAAGTCCTTCTCATTTTAAAATCAAACATTTTATTGGATGGATTCATGATCAATACACTGCTCAAAATTGGTACAAAGAAAAAAAATATTGAAATCACAAATTATATTTTTCATTGATTTTTAAGCTAAAACATATTATATTTTTCATACAGGCAACCATTAATAGCTTTCTTAGAACTCTCAGAAACAATTGACAAAAAAAAAAAAGAATAAAATGTATTGCAACTCATATTAGAACAGAGAAGATAAATATGTATATATTTATGTATAAGAATAAAATATGTATCTTAGAAGTTCTTTCTCTCTTGACAATAAATGGTTGTGTGGGATGCCATAACCAGGAGAAGGTTACAGATCAGCCACTGTGTAATAATTATGAGGTAGACCCATATACTGCAGAGAGTGTGACTGAGTAAATGAGAATTCAATTATCTATAACTAAAGCCACAGTAAATGCAGACAGGCATTGCTAGTCCGTATATTCATTACTAACGAGCTAGCACTGATATATGGATTAAAGTCTCCAATGAAAAATGGCCTACTTTTTTAAATTGAGAGTTTGTAATTTTATGTTCTCAACTTTTGCAATTCACCTGCACATAACCCATAAAATTATATTTATTAAATACTTCAAACTTAATTATAAAATTATATCTATTAAAAACTTATAAAATCATATTATTGAATGAAAATCATTATATAATAATTAATTCTAAAATATGCATAAAGTATCACAGTTATTTAATATATATCTAGTAATTGTATGTTATCTAAAAGTTAAAATGTTCAATAATTAAAATTGATATAATTGTACTGATTAAAAGTTTTAATTGGCTAATCTAAAAGTTAAAATGTTCAATAATTAAAATTGATATAATTGTACTGATTAAAAGTTTTAATTGGCTAATCTAAAAGTTAAAATGTTCAATAATTAAAATTGATATAATTGTACTGATTAAAAGTTTTAATTGGCTAATCTAAAAGTTAAAATGTTCAATAATTAAATTTGGAAAAAAAATACAAATAAATTAAATGGTAAATATATAAATATTTGTCAGAACTCGTGGATCCGTGGCGCAATGGTAGCGCGTCTGACTTCAGATCAGAAGTTTGCGTTTTGGATTCACGTCAGGATCAAGTCCCATTTTATGCATTTTTTATGTACGTGCCTCAGTTATACGCTATGTTAATGAGCTGATGTTATCAAACTTTCATATTAATTATTATATGCCTTCTATTAAATCAATTGAATAATGTTTATATTTTGTAGCTATTTAACTACATAGATCTTCAATTAATTTTTCCATTTAATTATATAAAATGTCAAGTTTACCTTTAACAAACTTGATATTGCCCCTCCCTCTCTCTTTCTCCATTCACCATTAAAGTTTTCTTTCATTTTCTCCGTTAAAACACGAACCAAGCATGTAAATATGGGGGATGACTGATTTTTGTCTCTTGTAATAATTCCTCCTCATATTTTTAGTTTTGTCGCAAGTTTTTATGTTTTGTCGTTAATAAATTACAGATCTATATCTATTCTGACATAGATATATGTTATTTATGTTTCTGCTATTATTTTGTACTTTATCTTCATCTTATGTAGAGTTTATGGTCTCTCCATTTTATGTGGAGTGTTTTTTTTTTTTTTTTTTTTTTTTGTCACGTTAAATAAAACTATAACCAGATACAAATAATATCAAATATTAAAACATGAACAATAATAAAAAATGTATATTAAGATATAATCTAGACTAATATAATTATAGATAACATTAAATCTTACAATATTATGTAAGGAGTTATTATAAGGATACTACAATACAATATATATATGATGAAGAAGTGTTTTTTATTTTTTTTATAATATTTGAAATAGATAGATTGATATATAAAAGAGATTACATATAAATATTGGACAAAGTGATAGACATTATAGAGAGAGAATTATTATACACAGAACTATCAATGAATACTAAATTAAGAATATAATATTGAGAAAGATATATAGATAGATCAAGATAAAAATAAATATACATACATATAGAAATTAGTGAAGATTAAAAAAATAACGAAAAATTTTTTTTTTTTTTTTTTTTTTTGTGTAGTTGTTTGGTTTTATTTGGACAAGTGTGCAATTTAGGGAGAATTTTTCAACAGCATAATGATCTTTGTCTTTTGGAGCTTGATAGTGCGGTATATTCCTCCATTGGAATTAGTGGTTCGAATCCTCTGCGTTCTTCATAAGCAACTAATTCATGGATAATTAAGTCATGTATAGAAGATTCGCGAAGTTTATTAAACCAGCTACTTTTTAATATCTATTTGTTTTTTTTTTTCAAATTCGCCTTCTAATTTTGATTAGGATTTCTTGTTAGATCAGCGAACATTAATTCTTTTAATTATAATCATTTGTTTTATGTCTGGTCTTCAGAAGATAAGTCATGTCCTTCCTACAAAATTTGTATTGATTTGAAGTTTTTTTAATGAAAAATCCTAATATCTTCAAAAAAAATTAAATATTTCTTTTATGCCAAATGAAATCGTGGATTTTTTTTTTCTTTTATCTTCATATCATTAATTCTATAAATAAGAATTTATTAGAAATAAAAATTCTTTTATATGTTTAGATCAAATTATAAATAAAAATTGTTAATAAAAAATTAAAACAAAATAAAAGTATTTTATTTGATTATTAGTTCAAAATTAGGAATGAGCATTAAACGGTTTAAACCGTAAAACCAAACTAATTAAACCATTTGGTTTCATTTTTATTTAATCAAACCATTTAAAACTGGATCAAACCACAAATGCTATAGTATTGTTTGTTTTATGAATAAGTTCTTATTCACAGAGTTTCAAGTCAGTAGATCATGAATATTACTTACATATAATCTTATTGTCTTTACAAATTTAAATTGCAGAAATTAATATTTTGTATGTTCTACTTTATCTTATCAAATAATACTTTTTTGCTAGTTATAAATTTTTTTTTCTTATGCTATATTAATTATTTTGTTGAATGAAAAAGGTCCTGATTTGTAAATTTTCACCAAATTATAAAGACTAAATAATGATTTACTTAATTTCAGTTTGCAAACGTATTACAACTAGTCATGTGCCCATGCGATGCGCGGATTGTATAATTTTATATTTTTTATAATTAAATTGAATGCAATTTCAAGAAAATTATTGTAATTTATATTTATGTTGTTTTAATTTAAATAATTTATTTATTTTTAATTAAAAAATTAAACATAATTTTTTTTTTTGAAATTCTGAAGTAACGAAGTGAAATATTAATTTGCACAGTTAATCATTATAAGTAAATTATTATAATTCAACTGATATAGTTAATTAATTATTTTTTCTCTTTAAAATTGTCATATAATCAAATTAGATAAGGTATAAGAATATTTAATTTTAATGAAATAAATTTTAGTGAATTAAAATTAATATTTTAATTTTATTTGTTAATGTTAAATTAATATTTTAATTTTATTTTTAATGTAACTTATATTATTTTAATTGATTGTTTATTAATTATCGCTCTATTATAACTTCCATTTTTAGTGAATTAAAATTAATATTTTAATTTTATTTGTTAATGTAACTATATTATTTAATTGATTTTTATTAATTATGCTCTATTATAACTCCATAAAATTTTTTTTATAGAGAAAACTATCAGACAAAAAATTCAATATTTATTAAATATAAAAAATATTAATTATAATGAAATCATTCATTAAATTTATTAGTTTGTAACTCTATTATTTAGTAAAAAAATTTATTTGTTGAATCATTTTTAACCTCGGTTTGGTTTGATAAATCGGTAATTACCGAAGTTTGTCCACCTCTAGGTATACAAGCGTATAGATAGATTGTTCAAGGTCGCACCTTCATTCAGATTCTTTTACTATCTAGCACTTGGATTGAAATCTCAATTATGAAATCTTGTAGGTTTAATTGGGTTTAAAAAGTTGTTCCCTTTTTGGGATTTCTTCCTAAATTAGTTAAATAATTGAGTTTTCAATAACAATTTCACGAAATCACAACCAAAATCATCCATCATTAGATTTCATTCCCTAGTGTCAATACTAAGTCCATGGAAGAGAGTGAGAGAGAGAGACAATAAATTGCAAGGGAAGGGTCCAACATGGTCACTATTCACAACTGCTCAAAACGGATAGTAAGCTAACTCAAGGTGGGTTACCAACTCAAGTGGGACCTAATTTTATTATTTTTTAAAACCAATTTTGATAATTTTGAAATTAGGGTGCAATTATGTTTAAAGTTTAAAATTGTGGTACTGAAAAGTTAAGTCCAAAATAGATTACAATTATTATAATTTCTAAAAATTACATATTTGATTACAAAAATACCTTTTTAAATTTTTTTTTCGCTTTTTGACTCATACAATTAAAAGAAAATAACAACCACTCCATAATGTCACATTTTAGTCATTCTTATTACCTAACTCACTCATGTACTTGTATATTGATCTTGTGATACAATTTCGAAAATCATTTTTATTCTCTGAAATAAAAACCACGTATCCAGTAGTTGCTGCTAAAACAAACACCATATGAACAAATTGTTTGATGTTATTGTATGAAAGGACCAAAAAGCCCTATCACAGTATCACAGCCCAATAGACTTTTGAATATTATCCAACCAGTTATTCCCACTTGGAAATTTGCATTTGGCTTGTATTGTTCACCGTAATTTGCAAATTATCCATTTTAATTTAAATGTTATCTTTATATTTTTTTAATTTAATTATTATATTTCGTTTTCCTCAAGCTAAGAAACTAAAATTTTGTCTTGATATTTTTAATTTAGTAAACAACTAGTGTTGTCATTATTATTCTTATAACTATTATGTTTCATTGTAATTTTCTCCAGTATCTTAATTAAATACTTTAAAAACTTAAGTATAGTAATTTATTTATATATACTAAGTTGTCATACATATAGTTCCTCTACCTTTAAATGTATATTGTATGTTGTTATAGAACTATTACTTTTATATTTTAGTGATTAAAGTTTTTTAAAGATTTATCATGCATGTAAGTATAATTTCTGTAATTCAATAAAAACTTATATTATATGTTGAATATTATAATAAAAAGGAATAAATTTTTTTATTATTTCAATACTTTATTGACTTATTGGGAAGATTAGATTATTTTTTATATTCCCTCTGTAAATATTGAGCTAATCTTAATTTAAGGCATGTGTATTAACTTTTTTTTTTTTTTTCAATGATCAATAAGCATTAACTCTAACCTAATTTTAGAATTTTGATTTAATATTTTAGCAAAATAAAAAATTTTATTAACTGAGAAAATTTCTAATTTAGATATTATTATTTCACATCCTCCTTGTTTACTTTCAGCCCAGTACATAAAAATGTTCCACTCTGATATATAAATCTTGAGAGTTGTCAAAGCTAAGACAATAGTTCAAATCATAGATCACTATTTAGGATTTAAATTAACAAATGCACTAAAAATAGTAATTTACATTGATAATTAAATTAGAGATATCTTTGAGTGCCTAAAAATTAAGCTCATGATATACTAATTAATTTATGGTAAGTCGTGAAAGTAGGCAATAATTTTCATCATTGTTTTTGAGATATTTGATCTATATTTCTTAATTTTTAATTAAAAATTTTAATCATCACCTTTAATTTTTTTAATCCTATCAAAGCCAGGTTAATTAGATTTTATTTTAGTATAATATTTTAATTCTTTTAATATATATGTTATTGTCAGATCCACATAATCATATATCCATACATAATATGTAAAAGTGAATGGATCGAATAATTACCTCCTCTTGTAGCGCAGTAGATGAATAACTTCTAGCCTTGTGTTACCGGTTTGCTGAATGTATAAGCAATCACGAACTAACGACCTGCTCCTGTTGTCCATAGTCTTAATGCCTTTTTTGTCTTTGCGATATGAATGAAAGAATAATCAGATTACCATAGAGTTTTTTTGTTTTAGCTTTTGATAGCAATTGTGGACAACCTTTTTTTTTATTATTTTAGTTGGATAACAACATGTTAATGTAATCCTATTAAAATTCAAATTCTCTAATTGTAACCGACCAAAATTATATTTAAACTCATTTAAATACTAATAATAATTAGACACATTAATTATTATCAATACACCTAGGTTAAAAGACTAGTCATGACGTATTCATACTCGTCTTTTAATTCCAACCGTTATAGTATTTAAGTAAAGCAAATCTAGAAGTTAATTTTAAAGTTAAAGTAAAAATAAAGATTAATAATTAAGAAAAAAATACAATTAATAAATTGTTAAAGACTACTATTACTTATAATATCATTATTATTATTTTAAAATAGGTGTTGCGCAGGTTACTTTATTAATATCTATTGTAACTTGTATTTGTTTTTTTCTTTTTCAAATCTATAATAAAATTTATACTTAAATAAGTTATTATTTAAAATTTTCAACCTCAACCCAATATATTACTTTTGTCCTAATACAATTCAAATCTTGTGATAAACTTGATTTGTTACATATAGATTATGAGATTCCATCCATACAACACCAACTACTATGTTACAGAGATCAGAGGGATTGCATCTCATATCTATCAGTGCAGCAATAAACTATATTTCAAAAACAATGGCTAAAAAATTTAGAACACTCTTTGACACTTGAGAAGGAAAGCTCCATATTAGACATTCTTTAATACAATATAACATTAAGCACACTATAATCTCAGTACTTCGGATGTTTTTATTGGGTTGGCAATAATCTACAGCGCTTCTTTAGAAGAACTCTTAGCCTCGAGTATTTATTATCAGGAGAGAAGCGAGCTACAGTTGAATAGCGAGAGCTAGTAGGCCATCTTTTCGTAGCACAAATTTTTCTCTTGTTTTAATAATTCAGAAGAATAGCAATTTTGGCTGGTGTAATAACATATATCTTATGCACATTCATAAATAAAAGATGATAGTTATATTTAAAAAAATGAAGTCTAATAAAAAAAGAACATTTTGATTCTGTTTGTTTTGTTTAAAATATTTTTTTTTATCATTATAAGCATCCAAGAAAATTAATAAATAAATAAATATACTAACTTCTGATTCAAATGGTATTGCGTCTTCTTGTTCAGTAAACTCTCTCTATTCTTCAGGTTACCTAGATAATCCAGAATCTCTAATCTTTCAACACACAGGTTACGGAACAATAAAAAAAATGCAAACATACAAAAATACAAAAAGTCATTATTCTCATACCTAAGAGTCGATAAGACAATTCTGGATGTCAAATGTTGCCTAGGAGTCATAATTCTCACACCTAAGAATTGCTAAACTACTACTATATAACCTGACACTGCAGTGTGCAACAGATATTGATTCCTGATTCCTCCTTTCTAAGAGTTAGCACTCAATTCAACTCGATCGCAGTCTAATACATTATACTCCCGCCATCGGATTTTGTTTGATTATTATTCTTATTTTAAATGTTTCAAAATATTTATAAAATTTCTAAATTTATATATATAAACAATTATTTTTCTCGTAATAACCTTTATGATCATTAAATGAATGATTATTATTAATATCTTAATGAGTTAATAAGCACAAGGTAGAAGTGATGTACATAAGGTGTGGCAGGCCTTGAGCTGCTGATACGCATTTTGGGCTGGGAGGTGGTTCCTTGGCCTAGGAATAAAACCGTGCGGGTCTGAGGCCCAAAACGGATAATATCTCGGTAGGCCTGGGATGTTACAAACTTGGTAGCAGAGCCAAGTTTTGCCCCTATGGCTGGTGGTGGGGCAAACCTCAGTGAGGACGCTATATCTCGGTTGGCCGTGGGATTGTTACAACACTTTGGTAGCAGAGCCAAGTTTTTGCCCCTTATTGGCTGGTGGTGGGGCAAACCTCAGTGAGGACGCTGAGTTCCCGTAAGGGGGGGGTTATGTGACACGTTTTTAGATATCTCGGTAGGCCTGGGATGTTACAAACTTGGTAGCAGAGCCAAGTTTTGCCCCTATGGCTGGTGGTGGGGCAAACCTCAGTGAGGACGCTGAGTCCCTAAGGGGGGGGTTTATGTGACACTTTAGGCGAATCTCACATCAGCTAAGCACAAGGTGAAAGTGATGTACATAAGGTGTGGCGGGTCTTGAGCTCATCCCTACTCCTTCTCCTTTATTAATCCATACCAAACTTCACGCTACTGGGTTAGAGATTTCTACCTTTGTTATCAATTTCACTGTTCAAACGTTCGCCATATCTCCTATCGATGAACATTTGAGAGTAAAATTACATGGCTGTCCATATAATATTCATAAAGCATTGGCATTTGAGATTAGACGTCGATTATTTTTATAAAATAACTTGCCAAAAAATATTTTCTGTAATTTTCTAATGTTTGGAGTAATAAATAAAAATAAGTCAATTAGAAAATAAGTTATCATTTGTAGAAAATGACTTCCCGTTTTGCAGATGGGAAAACATTTTCCCTAACTTGTTTAGACATCCTATCTCTGCTCATTATTTGTCAATGGACATTTACCGCTTACCAAGCAATAACACTGCATAGCAGTTACTTACCTAGACAGTTCCCCATAACCACATTATTGGAAAAACCTTTCTGCTTCATTGTCTCCTCTTTCTTGATAATCAAGTGGCTTAAAGCAAGAATCGAGATAACCAAATCTCAAAAGTCAATTCTTTCTTTATCAATTACTATCTTTTCTCTTCTATTTTCACCATTCTGCAAAATAAATAAATAAATGATTCGTTGTCTGTTTATAAAGTAAAAATTACCAATGTGTTTTCTTCAAATTAATCATAAAATTCAATCCATTTCTCTTTAAGAGATTATTGAAGTGTAGAAGCTATAGTGCACGTTACTTGCTTGTGAAATTGCTTAAAAGAGAACCAGTAATCCTGTGAATTGGAAACGCTGTTTATCACTTGATTAAAATTTTTCATTTGTCAATTTGATTTTCTTATGAATTTTAAAATATTCATTAGATTTATGTGAAATATAGTAAGTGTGAATATATTATTTATATGGTGAAAATTTAAAAATTCTTTTAATATTATATCAAATGCCACAAATATTTTCCAAGTGATTTTTTTATGTAATAGGCAGATATGTAATAGCCAAATGTTGAAAAATAATGTATTTTTCAGAAAAATATTTTCTAATAAATTATTTTCAATAAGTTATTTTACGAATCAAATGGAGCCTTAAAAAGAGAGAGAGAGAGAGAGAGAGAGAGAGAGTTTTCACTTGAGTCTTAATCACTTCATATGAGACTCAAACCATTTAAATATCTGGTCAGACTGCATACTAGTCATTTCATGGTATGCAAATGCAAGATTTAGTTCCTCCTGTACATGTTGAACCAAACGTTTATCCAGCATAATGTCCTTGGTTTCAAGAAGAGCTTTTTTCCAATGGGTAGCACGCCCATCTTTCTTCATGTATCCATTCTTGTCGATGAAGCCTTTGTCCTGGAATTGCGCAAACAGCTTAGCAGACACAGTTCGATCAAGTCCCGGAATTCGATCCGCCAAGAAAGATGGGGATAAAGGGAACTCAATGCATTCAACCTCGGCAACATCAATGCCGATATTCTTCAGAACTTGTATGAATTCACTTATCTTTTGCTGTCTGTATAAATCTCTGGGCATGTGCACAAAAAGTGTCGGAGGATAATTTTCGCTGATATCCATTTGATCAAATAGTCCTTCAGCTATCATAAGTGTAATGCTGCTAAATCTCATAGTGGTGGCAAGTGCAGAAACGAAGTACCCACCAGAAGAGGCCCCCAAAGCAACAAGTGGAAGCTTTTCAAGCTTATGCTTCTGCAACCACCATTTTATGATATTCTTAACGATCAACATTTCCTCCCCAAATGTCCAGCACCTCCCCATGCTTGATATGGTAAGAACAGCAAATCTCTTAGCAAGGGCATGAAGAACAAGTAGCCTTTCCTCAGGTAAACCGATGCAGTTAGGGCAGCTGGAAGATCTGTCCCAAAAGTTAACAGCTCGACCATTGCATCCATGAGCCAAAAAGAGAACTGCTTTAGGTGAATCAGGTATTTGCCATATCACATCTGTTCCATTTCTGAATTCTTTAGTGGAGTTGAACTGTACAGAATCAAAATTATCCCATTTTTGTGCTGTAAATCCAAGTGAAGGACGGGATTTTTTTCCATTATTGTAAAATACTGATATTAAAAACAGGAGGATCAAAACCAGACAAGTAATCACAACTGGCACCCGACAAATTTGATGTCCACGCCATGCCTTTAACTTGCTTCCACGCTTCAACATTACTGTAAAATAAAAATTTTAAAAATATATTTATTACAAATGGCTCCTCGTATATTTGAATGAAAAAAACAGCCCAAAAACAATGTGATCAGTATCAATGCGTTGACAGAATCTCAATATCAGTTGTAGATAGTGTCGTCAACCAGGACCAAGAATACCTTTTCCATAAAGGTCTTTCTAACTCTCCATATAACCAACCCAGAAAATGGAAAACAGTTCTACCATGCAAGTTTTGGTCTTTAAATATTTTTTTTCTAACCTCCATTGTCGATGGGCAAGCAAGAAGAATTTCCACATGATTTTTAACATCATGTCATAATTTCAGGTCTAAACCATTTTTATTTTGGATGATTCGTTTGGAAAAGCATGTTCTTTTTTATAATAAGTGATAACAGGACTATAAATATTACCATGTACAAGACATTTCACAATCCAGCAAATCTTTAAGTTAAAATTACAAAGAAAGAGCAACAATTGCAGAGTTACTAACTTACTCATATCATACAATTAATGACTGGACAGATTTCACCAGTGTACTAACAGTACTAGATGATCCAATACCAATTATCAAAATAGAACTTAGGAGCCAAAAGTATCATTAGCATGTTCCTGCGAAATTTGTGATACAAATTGAGATTTAGTGACTAAATTGGAAGTATAGTGATTAGGAATGGAATTAATATGTAGATTACATGTCAAAATTCATATCTAAAGATAAGTAATATATTATTACGCAAAATAGATAGATATTAAAATAGAAAAAAGGAAAAAATAAAGCAACAGTGCCAAGCTATTCAACTTTAATATATTTAATAATATGCAGATAAAAACCAAAAAAAGATGTTATTTCAAGCAAGAAAAATGAACTAGCATTTTAGAATAGGGAGGACAGAGGTATAATTAAGGCATTGATTTATGGCCCTTAAGACAATCATACTAATTTACTCCTGATTCCGATCATAAATACTATCATAAGCATTCCTCATTTGAGTCAAAAAGCATATCATGAAGCATTGTTGTTTTGCATCAGTTTGAGAAATGACTATGAACAAACTATTGTACAACCTTGGTTTTCAAACCCATAACTAAGGTGACTTTTATCTATACCTAATTAGCAATTGGTTTCAAAACCTAAAAATCGTAGCATTACTGTAAAGTCTAAAAGCTAGGAGTGGGAATTTTTAGAACACTATATCACTTTATTTCTTTCCAATCACCTCAGCATTCGGATATCCAACCCCGGACTGCTGGCTTTCAAAAGCCAAACAAAATGGGCACATGAATAGAAAATTTTCCTCCTTTTTCCTATATATCTCCTCTCTCATTCTTTCCTTTTTCATATATGATGTTAAAGCCTTATTTGTAGCACAACTTTTGTGTCGGAAAGCTCAAGTTCCTGTTGAACAAAACCAGGCCTAGCATAATTGATCATATCTAATACAGTAATCTAAATGCCAGTGAAAACGAACAGTGGTAAATAAGTTTTGCTAAAAATAAAAACCGAAAACCTAACTTTAGATTCAAATCCTTCCCCACCCATTAGAAACATACAACTTATCAGCAAATTCATCACCTTTGAAACCTAATGGAGCCTAATCCTTATTAAGATAAATAGTCTGACGGCCATAACCCAATATTTGAAGACGAAAGCAGTTAATGTGTTTAAAGAACTAGCAAACCATTAAAACCAAAAAAATGGAAGAATCAGGCAATCATTTGAGTAAAAATTCAACTCAAAGGGAGAGAAAATGCAGGGGAACGTACCTGAACAATCCTCAGCGAAAGAGGGGGAGAGAGAGAGAGAGAGAGAGAGAGAGCAGTAGATCGTCCATTCGAATGTTGTGAGTTTAGGATTTCGGTACTTTGCGGATCCAATGATTCCAACCCGGTCGGATTAATGTCATCTGTTATTTTTATATACATTTACCATAATTACCATAATTTTCGTGTATGTCATCCAATTTTCTAAACGATGACATTTCACTCTAAGTTTATAAAACGGTTGCAAACTAACCATTTAATTTATAATACATTAGCATTTATTTATTTATGTATTAAGGTGAAATATTATTTTTATATAGTATTATATAAAATGTTAATTAAATTTTATGATAATATGTCGTAGTTATCTATTATTTTTACATAATTAATAATTATAAATAGAATGGTGATATAAAAATACTAATTTTTAAAAAAATTAATTTTATTTTATACTTTATCCATCCCATTTTGTTTGCTTATTATTTATTTTTTTGATGTCCTAAAAAATATTTGCAATGTTTCTAAATCTATATATATGAATAATTATTTTACTCATGATAACATTTATAATCCTCGTTAAATGAAAAGTTTTTATTAATATCTTAATGAGTTAAGGGTAAAAAAAAGGTAAAAATAACTTTTGTTTATTAAATTTTTAATATGCGTGTTTTGTCAAACCATACAAACAAAACGAGACGGAATGAATGTTATTTTTTAAGATCAATATAATTTAAATACCTATTAAACTCAAAAATGAAATTATTTTTATATTTCAAGATAATTATAGTCTTGTAGAGAAAGGGAATGTGAATGAATCTTTATTTTTTTTTCCTTCAGCTCTTTGTATAAGGGAATGTATAGGAGAAGCAGCAGAGAGAATCTCCATTACTAGGTGAATTAGAAATCTAGAGATAGTAGATAATAGGTGGTTTTAGAGTAGACTTTATGGGCATAATTTATTTCACAATATCTTTTAAAAATTTTCTATTTAGGTAATTAAGAAATTTTTATTTTTGAATATTATCAAGAGTCCCCAAAAGATGTTGGTCGTATATAGTAAACTAAGTAAAGACCCGCACTTTCTCCGCTGGTTATTTTGTCAGTTTATAATATATAATTTATAATCAATATGTATTTCTAATAAATAAATCATATTTAGTACACATTATAAGATTCATTTTCCCGCGGGTTGCTTTACTAAATTGTCATGTTATATATAAATTACAATGCCGTTAATTTATTTAAAATAATTATACTTTCTGCCGCTGGTTTATTTTTGTCAGTTGTATAGATATATAATTTTTATAATCAATTACTGTAATTTTCAATAATAAAATTCATATTTCAGAACACGATTATAAGATTTTCATTTTTCCGCGGGTTGCTTTACTAAATTGTTCATGTCTATATAATTAAATTACAATGCCGTTAAAATTTATTTAAAATTAATTATTTAGAATTTCATTAATCTAGCAATAATTTTAGGTTAGAGTTTTATAATGTCAAAGCATTATTTTTTATTCCTAGATTATTTTTTATCCTAGATAATTCTATATAAAGTATAAAATTCTAGAATTCAAATAATTTAATGTGGATAATATCCAACAAAATAATAAATGATAAGAAAAAAATTTAAATAATTCAATGTGAATAATTCTATATTAAATAAAGATATTAAAAACAACTTATCTAATTATAACTATTTTAAAAATAATAGATATATAAGAAAAAATTTCAAAAGCTTTTTCAATTTTTAAGATACAAGGATATTCCTAAATAAAATTTCCACTAATTATTTCAAATACGCACTTCATATTTTTATAGTAACTTATAAATTATAAAAATAAATTACTATAATAAAAATATTTAAATAATAACAATAACATCAACATGAAGAAGGAACAATTATACCATTGACAAATGAGAAATAAGATAAGGAGTTTGGTGAGGTTGTTATTTTTATTTATTTTATCAAATTATATTTTAATTATTAAAAAGTTTTTCATTGTTTAGTATTTTGCAAATTATACCATTGACAAATGAGAAATAAGATAAGGAGTTTGGTGAGGTTGTTATTTTTATTTATTTTATCAAATTATATTTTAATTATTAAAAAGTTTTTCATTGTTTAGTATTTTGCATGCACAAACCTGAGTAGAGAACCAACTTCACGTATGATTATATTTCATTTCACCATACCAAAGTAATGAACAAACAGAATTACACTAAAAGCTTGCCAAAAAAAAATCCAAAGACCTGATCCCAAATTCAGTTTTTAAATTGCACAATGTCATTGCCAATATGTCATAATAAAAGAATAGAATTTATATATTTTTTAAATAATTAATTATTTTATTCAGCCACCTATTTCTGTCCTAGCCAAATCATCTCCGACCATAGGGGATGCCATTGTCGGTGGAATCTAGAATCTCAAAAATAAAGTTTATGATAAATACAAATAACACATAAATAAAATTAATTATTCAACAAACAGAGAGTGTTAGAGTAATTATGATTAATAAGGAAAATAGAAAATAAAAAATAATGAAAAATTGATTTAAAAGGATGAATATCTTTATAGTCCAAATAAAATTAAAATACTGAACGATAAAAATATGAAAAAATTATATGAAAGAGCAATATAGAAACGATACCTGATCATATCTAGACTTCGTATCTTTTTCAACATTTTTCATTTAATAATAATATCAATGAAAAATCAAATAAAAAAATATATGAACCAATAAAAATAGAAAGAGAGAATTATAAATGAGGAAATGGAAGAAAAAGGTAAAGAATTATATAGTAAAAAAAAAAAAAGAAAAAATATATGAAAGTGCTAATGTTACCTTTGACGAAGAAAAAATTGTTCTATAGTTCATAATTTGAAAAACAAAAATAGCAAAATTAATATGAATATAAATAAATATAAATATATCAAGATAAAAAGAAATAAAATAAACAAAGAAACTAAAAAATAAAAACAGTACAAAATAAACAAAGAAACTAAAAAATAAAAATAGTCGTTGAATCAAACTGTGTGGTTGGAGGTTTGAAAGATAGAGAAGAATAGAGTTACACACATAGTGTTCAACTAATAGTTAGCTATAGCTTATAAATTTCTAAAAAATAGAAAATACTTCAAGATTTTTAGATACAGATTGGATTAGTTAGAAAGGTTTAGAATTTGATTTTTTAAAATAAATTATTAGTGGTGATAAAGTAAATTATATTATTTTTAATTGACAAATAATTATATATTTTTTTGTTAAAAATGAATTAAAAGTCTAGAAATTTTGTAAAAAATGAAAAACAGGAATTCTAAAACCAGAGGTTGCCAAGTAGCTTTTACAAAAATTTTTATGCTTCAAGATATATGTTTGATTCAATATAGGACACAGGCAAAACCTAGTTGGCAAATAAAGGCACTGGCATGTTGGGAGAGCTAAACATAACTTATATTATTTCCAAAGGTTTTAAATTTGAGTTATACTTTTTTGAACTTCTTAGGTTTGAGTAGTAAGATATTAAAAATTTTTTTTGCAATTGTCAATTATAATGAGTTTACTTAAGCTCAACGGCCGATGAAGTTTGTATTGGAACGAGATACTTAAGCTCATAAGATTGTCCGAGTGAGAGTGAGTTTCTTAAGTTCAGAGGACTGCACAGATTCGGTCTAGAGCGAGCCATCTAGACTCGCAAACTACTTAAGTTTAAATTCAAATGAGCTGCTTAAACTCCGAATGGACTACTTAAGTCTGAACTTCAAGGACTGCTTAAGTCTGTTTGAAGGTTGAGCTGCTTAAACTCCGCATGGTCTACTAAAATCAGAACTTCAAAGATTGCTTAAGTCCATCTTAAGTATTGAGTTGCTTAAGTTCAACATGGATTGCATAAATCTGTCTTAAATTTTGAGCTGCTTATGTTTGACATAGATTGCTTGAATCCGACCTTTAAGGATTGCTCAAGTCCATTTAACTTTTTGGAGCTACTTAAGCTTGAATGAGCTATTTAAATTCGAACTTCAAGTACTACTTAAACCCGTCTTAAGTGTTGAGTTGTTTAAGCTCGATATGGACTACTTAAGTTCAAACTTTAAAGACTGCTTAGGGTTTGGCATTATTTGGCTTGGTGCCTCTTCACCTCATTTGGGCTCGATTCAACATCATCAATTTTCTGCCTTAAATCCATATTAGACAAGTAACATTTATATAAAACTAACGCTATAAATATTCAATTCTAATATGTAAAACTCTTTATAAGTTTCATGAATCAAGCAATTTAATACTTAAAAGAAATAAATGATAAGAGTTCTATTGATGAAATGTCTATATCCCAGAGTAAATATATCGCCAGAACAAAATCAAATGTCAAAGCAAGAGAATAAAGCACGAACATTTTTACTTATAATTAAATAAGCACAAACCAAATTCAGGAAAGACTCCATTTGCATTTGTAGAGGACATGTAATGGCATACAAATGAAGCTACTGAACTAATTTTTCAAGAACCAAGCTAATTCTCATTCACAGAAAAACAACACAAAGAAAAGATATTTATCAAAATGATTTTCCCTCCTCATTCCCCAAAAACACTTTGAACATATGCATAAATAAAGAAGAAAAAAAATAACAAGTTTTACATTGGCAATTCCATACACTATCACTGACTTACTACCCCCTTACCCAAAGAATAATAATTATTTATTGGTCAACGTTATTAACTTACTACCCTAAGAATAGAGGAACCGTCAAAACAAAATTAGAGAGAAAAATAATAGTTTGATTTAGACGTCTAACTTCACATAATAATAATAAAATAATTCAAGCTTAATCAGTAGCCAAATTAGAGAGAAAAAGAACTTTAATTTATATTGAGGCAGCCAACTATTTTGCATTTAAATTCTTAACCTCCCACAAAAACAAATAAATGTTTTACTTTATAATGAATAAAATTAAGACACACCGGTATTTTTCTTTTAATGAGATATTGGACAAAAGTGTGAATCATTATCCAATCTATAAAAAACTCCTATCATATCAATCTATAAAAGCTTGATATGTACATCCGATCTAATACAAATACAAGGCTCTACTTTTTTTTTAGAAAATTTCAGTTCATTCTTTATTTTTATGTTATGATTTTTAAT